CCGTGAGCCTGCTTCATTTCAGCCCCATCTGTAAATCGCGGTGTAAATTTGTATAACTGCGTCATAAATACAGCGCGTAATGCACGGGGAATTTACTGGCAGGTAAGACGTGAATATGTCGGGCTGTTCCGATATATAAAATCTTTTTGTTGGTTACATTAAACTTATTTGTAACCTTCAGCTAATGAACGCCATAGGCGGCTGTTCCTCCGTGACTCCACCATTCCGAGTCACACAGTTCCTGACCCGGGCGAACGCATTCACGACAATCCAGTCAAAGGCAGCAGAGGCGAGCGTTCGAATCTAAAAGCGGCGCTTATATATAATTCACCGCCCTGAAATATTTATGAACAGGCCGGCCAGTGAAACCTCAACTCGACAATCTCGCGGTTGAAGCGGGAACGCGATCTCACTTCTTCCTCGTTATAATATATTGTTCACAGATCTCTCGGTATAATTCTAGTTAACCTCGTCTGCTGGCAAACACAATTCTTGGCAGATGCGTGATTAAATTTGCAAGTTTATAGCAGCAGATAAAAGGGAGGATTCCAAGATTTGCAGATACCTCACCGAGAGGAGGAAAAAAAACAACAGAGCATGGTGTCAGATTGTGGCTGCTACCCACACACAGCGGAGGCAGACATTGTGCAGACACATTCGGCCTTTCCTCTTTTTTTAGTGCCCCAGTAATAGCTAATGTATCCAAAAGACCCGGTGCAGTCCTTACAGCCAATAGGCCTTAGTAACGGTGGGTGCTTGGTTCCCTGGTGCCCAGCCTGCAGCCAGAATGCTACATGCGGCCCTGTGGTATTTGCAGTATGACCCTTGGGCCCAGTCATTAATGGGAGCAGTTATTTGTAGGCCTCATTCACACGGCCGGCATGTACACCTCCGTGCTCAGGCAGCTCCTGGGAAGGACAGGTGCTGCGTGTGATTAGTACACAGTCCCCTGTCCTTCTCTATGGGAGTACGCAGCGTACGCTGCCCTATGCTCGCCGCGCGTCGTGTATCGCAAAAAAAAAAAAAGGTACTTGTGCCTTTTTACGGCGATTGCCGCGCAGATGTCACCCCATTGGAATCAATGGGTCCGCCTAGCAATCGCTGCCTGCATTGTGCAGGACTGCGCGATCCCGGAGGTCTGCACCGGGCCTGACACTCTATTCAGAACTAACAAAAAAAAACATTTTGCAGATAGGGTCAAATTCTGGGGATCACATTTGTCAATTTTCCTGCAAGAAAACGCATGATTGTTGCATAAAAATGTATCTCAAGCGGAATTCCCCCAAACATCTCTGCTATGTGGTTGGTTTGCATCTAGGGAATTGGCATTTAGTGTGCTCTATCACACCTATGTATGCATGTTACAAGTGTGCACAGGCCCTTAGACTTTACTAGCGGCATGCTTGTTCCAGGTCAGTGACTTAATAGGTAGTAAGCCAGAATCAAAGTATCAGGAGTCTGTGAATGGAGTCTGCACCTTTAAAAAAACAATCAACAATAGCACTTCCTACATGTCCAGCCTGACAACAAAAAATCCCCTTGAAGTCAACTGTGCTCTAATAATCGGCTAACTAATCGATTTTGAAAATAATCGTTAGCTGCAGCTCTAGCACATTGCAAGATATTTGATCAAACTTTTTGTAGTCTTACCTGTCCCTGCAGAACTTGCTGTTGGTATCTTGGTGTCCTTTCTGAAACTGATTTGTGAAGGAAGGGCTCAGCTTTCATTATAACCACCAGCTGAAGTCTGAAGGTTCTAATGAGCTAAGCTGCAGTGTCTGGATCATTTTAGAACAGGATGTGCAGTACAGAGTATGTCACCAGAAATGCAACTTCTATTCCTAAAGGTGTCTTGTTGCCCCCCAATCTGTACTCCATAGAAGCCATGGTTTCCATACTCTGCACTGATGATGGCCAACAAGCCTGAAACAGCTGTATGCAGTTTGGCATAAATGGCTGTATAAGGTTAAAGGAGAACTATGGGGTCAGGGCTTTTCCCCATAGGTTCTTCTTAGGGTAACGGGAGGACACAAACTAGCGCCCTCCCGTCACCCTAGGCTCAGTATACCGCGAGCTACCCGACAATTATGTCTGGATCCGCCCAGCTGCGTGAGTGACAGCTGGCTCTGCCTATCTAGAGGCAGAGCCAGCTGTGCCCGCCCCCTCCCCTGTCGGTTCCGCCAGTCAGCACTGGCGTATTGGAGCGGGGAGAGGGGAATCCAGCCCCTCCCATGTCACGGCAGAGAGCCGTGACAGGATCGAGAGGTGAGCGAACGCCGGTATGTGTTCGCTCACCTCCCGATCTACTGAGCCGACCTGTGACAGTCTCATTGTACAGTTGTCCCAGAGGCATAAGGAATTGTTTGCATGGCTCCACCTACTATGCTAAAATGAGGAATAAACCCTTATTTTTGGGATTTGTGATGGAAGTGAGAGACGCTCATAGTTTCTTATAACAGAAGGTATTTAGGCGTCCTCACTACCAGCACAAACTTAAAAACACGGAGCTCAGTGTCTGCTTATGGGAAAGTGGGTGGAGTCATGCAAATTATTCCTCTTTTAGTCATTTGTGCATCCAAAAGCGTTGGTCAATAGCACAGATAGACCTATAGTTTTACATAACCAGTATTATCAACGTGCATTGTTTCAGGCTACTTAGTCCTCATTAGTGCAAGATATGGCTATGGTCAGATAAAAGACTGAAGGGGAGGACGGAGGTCAGATAGAAGACTGAAGGGAAGGATGGAGATCAGATAGAAGACTGAAGGGAAGGACGGAGGTCAGATAAAAGACTGAAGGGAAGGACGGAGGTCAGATAGAAGACTGAAGGGAAGGATGGAGGTCAGATAGAAGACTGAAGGGATGGACGGAGGTCAGATAGAAGACTGAAGGGAAGGACGGAGGTCAGATAGAAGACTGAAGGGGAGGACGGAGGTCAGATAGAAGACTGAAGGGAAGGACGGAGGTCAGATAGAAGACTGAAGGGAAGGATGGAGGTCAGATAGAAGACTGAAGGGAAGGACGGAGGTTAGATATAGGACTGAAGGGTAGGCCGGAGGTCAGATAGAAGACTGAAGGGGAGGACGGAGGTCAGATAGAAGACTGAAGGGAAGGCCGGAGGCCAGATAGAAGACTGAAGGGAAGGATGGAGGTCAGATAGAAGACTGAAGGGAAGGACGGAGGTCAGATAGAAGACTGAAGGGAAGGACGGAGGTCAGATAGAAGACTGAAGGGGAGGACGGAGGTCAGATAGAAGACTGAAGGGGAGGACGGAGGTCAGCTTTAAACATTGTGCTCCCCCATCCTTCACCCTGTCTTTGTGTATGTGAACTCGGTCCTTAGTACAGTAGATCTTGCACACAGACGTCTATAAGATTTTCATGCCTCAGCATGGGGTGTAATTAAGATTATGTATGAGATACACCCACAATGATTGCCACCCTGAAATAATGGGACTTGTTTGTGGTTGCTGGAAGTGATAACATCTAACAATATGTCGCCACTTTATCTATGCAAAGAAAACATTTTCATTGTTTTCTGTTTTACAACGTTTGCGTATTCTTTTCTATTTCCATCACATGTTGTCATTATATAACTAGTACTGTACCCAACATCTATGTAGTCTCAGCTCCCGTCTGATTGGATACAAATTGGTTGGATTGGGTCCTCAGATTACATAGTTTTGTTGATCAAGGTTTTGTATAGATTGCTCATTTATGGCCAGCTGTTACAATCTGATTGTACAATCTCCTATAGCTCTACAATTATGTTGTGCATGAGCCTTGCTGTTTGGATACAGATTGAATGCATAGTTTATGTACGTCCTCTTCCTTGAATCTTGGTGAGCTTTGTGTATTTCTTCCAGATCTGTGCAGTTATCCAGTGTGAGACTTGGAGCTTCCTGTAATAAAGACCGCTCACTGCTGCTCTCTCTCCTTGTGCAGGGTGACTGGTCTTGTCTCCGCCCCCTCCTGTAATAAAGACCGCTCACTGCTGCTCTCTCTCCTTGTGCAGGGTGACTGGTCTTGTCTCCGCCCCCTCCTGTAATAAAGACCGGTCACTGCTGCTCTCTTTCCTTGTGCAGGGTGACTGGTCTTGTCTCCGCCCGCTGATCTACTGGGATTTTCATGCACAACCATCTCTCGGGTTTATAGGGAATGGTCTGTAAAAGAGAAAATATCCAGTCAGTGTATGTGGCAGCACAGAGGTGGGCTTTATTCCCTGCTGCCACGTATATGGCTGATGTCACTGCTTTGTGCCAGGAGAGCGCTAAATCGAGCGCCCCTAGCACTGTGGTCAAGCTGTCACCAACATCTCCCAGTCACACAGTGATGATCTGGAGCCAATAGAATGGGCTCGCAATCATGTGATCACTATGACCGCCATCACAGTGATCACACGATCGAGAAACCCATGAAGCTGGGTTAGAACTCTTAAAGGGCCGGCGGTAAAGAGTTAACGCAGAGATACAGTCAAGAAAGTACAAGGCTGTATCACTGTGCTTGCTGCGGTAAAAGATTAAAATAGATAATTGACTCCTGACTGAACACATATTGCATTTTACACAGTCAATCTAGCGAGCGGTCCGCGTAAGCATGGTCATGAATACAGCAACTGAAGCTGAAAAACCGAGACTGTAATCCTTCTATTTATATCCATTACTTTTATGAGCAGCAATCCCCTGTTTAGGTAGCTTGTAAGAAAACTTTGAGAACAATTCATAGTAGTGTGTGTGCGCCTCTCTCAGCCCCTCTGTGGGGGAGTAGGCAAATTCTAGTGAGGTAGGGGGCGGGGCCATGTGTCTGGAGGAAAAAAAACTTCAGACAGAGCTGGGAAGGCAGCAGAGAGGCAAGTGCTGGCTTTGGTCTCATTGTGCTGCACAGGGAGAGGAGCTCTCTGTCTGAGAGGCACTGACATGCTTCGCACAACCAGAAGGTGAGCAAAGTCATCAGACTCTGGAGTTCCCCACGTTCTACAAGGAGAACATCAGCGCTGGGCATCATGGGGCCCACCGTCAGAGGTTGCTGAAGGCATGCTCTTGCTTTAAGACTTCACCTGAGTGCACAGATCTCCAGTGGAACTAAACCGTGCGCAGAGGAATTTTTATTGTGAAACTCCTGTGCTAACTTTCTTCCTTGACCGCTCCACACTTGCATGGATTATAGTTCTGGTCTCCTGCACACAGAAAAGTTCTGATCTGCTGGGAGCAGAGATGGAGAGCGAGGAGGAGTGGAAGATCTCGGTATGGCTGTGCCAGGAAGAGAAGCTGGTTTCGGGGCTCACCAGACGCACCACTTGCGCCGATGTGGTTAAAGTCCTGCTTGACGATCACAACGAGAAGGAGCCTGAGGAAGGGTCCATGCTGTTGGGGCCTCCTCACTCTTACTGCATTGTGGAAAAGTGGAGGGGCTTTGAGAGGATACTCCCCAACAAAACTAAAATATTGAGACTTTGGACTGCCTGGGGAGAGGAGCAGGAGAACGTGCGATTTGTGCTGGTTAGGAATGAGGCCTCGCTGCCTAATATAGGACCCCGAAGCGCTGAAGCCAAGGTGGTCCTCAGCAGGGATAGCCAATGTCCTTTTAGAGGAACTACAAAAGCCACAACGGCCCTGACACAAGAAAGGCAGCGCAGGGTAGTTAAAAAGGCTTTCCGAAAATTGGCCAAGATGAACAGGAAGCGGCAGGAGAGTTTTTCCAGAGATTCCAACACAGTGGAGAAGATGGAAACGCTGGTACATATGGTTCTCTCCCAGGATCACACCATCCGTCAGCAGGTGCAGCGGATCAAGGATCTGGACAGAGACATAGAAAGGTATGAGGCTAAAATCCATTTTGACAGGATGAAAAAACATGGGGTTAACTATGTCCAAGATACATACCTGGTCCCTGACAAGGCTTGTGACAGCAGTAAAGAAGACGAAGGTTCTGCAGACCAACTTTTTGTTGACTATGAGGACTACGCTCAGAAATGTGAGGGGGTCCTGTTACTTCAGGATCAAATAACACAGCAGGAGGAATTGATTGAGGAGATTACTGCCCAGATCCAAGAGGAGCTAAATAAAAGGTGGATGGACCGGCGTCAAGAGGAACTGTCCTCAAAAGAACAGGAGACGGACTCTACAAGCGGCGACCTTGTGGACTGTGAAAATGAACTCTTCCTTGAGCAAGAGAGGGTTAAAACGGAGCTCAGTACCAGTCTCTACATAGGACTAAGGTTGAACACAGACCTGGAGGCTATGAAGGCCGATTTGGAGTACACCCAAGAAGTGTGGAATGAGAAAGAGAATGAACTGCAAAGTCTTTTGCAGAGTCTGAGTGCCGTGGAACTTTCTGATACCCAGGAGAGCTCTGAGGAGCACAGTCCAGGTTGTTCCGAAGTGGTAGAGAGAAGCTCTGTCGACAGTCCAAGAGTATGGGTTGAGAAAGATGTGGAAAGGTGTACAAACTGCGAAGGGAACGATGAAGATTCAGACACGGGATTAAGTTCCATGCATAGCCAGGACTCGGATTCTGCACAAGTCTGTGAATCTTTGGTATAGCTGACATTCCCCGCTGAAGCCTCAGGGGCACGGGGAAACAAACTCTATTTAATTCCTGACGTTGGAAGGTCCAACTTGGTATCTTTATCAACAGATCACAGTCACAATTGAACTTTCCAATGCTTAACAGTTTCTATTTGCACATCACTGGCAAGCACATTTGAAACTCTGGGAAACTCTTCCCATGGAATGTGAGGTTTATTTTATACTCTGACTGTAACTTTTCTATTATATTTGCGCAATATAATGCACAAAAAACCCACGCAGGAGAATTCTCCTGGCTTGACAACCCTAAAAACACTAGGTACAGTTTGTAAGCTTATTTTTTGTAATAAATATTTGCTAAATGATGATTTTACCCATTTATTATTTATTTTTATGTCATCTTTTTTTTTAAAGTGATTGTTTATTGAAGCTCAGAACTTAAATCTTAACAAATGCATTCAAGTAACTTAAGATACATTGTTGTTAATAGTTATTTGTTTATCACTCGGCCGTAGATCCTCCAACCATCTCTGAATTGGTGCTGACACTGTCCTTCCTTCTGGAGGGGGGCTACTTTTGTTCCCCGTGGGTGTTGTAAAGTAGTCACCGGTCCAAGCTCCCCCCCGGGATGGACTACAATCTCACGTTTAGTTTACTAAATTGTATTGCGATTGTAGTCCATCCCGGGGTATACATGAGATTGTAGTCCATCCCGGGAGCGAGCTTGGAGCAGTGACTACTTTAAAACACACACAGGGACCATGAGGATTAAAAGTAGCCCCCCTATAGAAGGAAGGACAGTGTCAGCCCCAATTCAGAGATGATTGGAGGACCTACAGCCGAGTGAAACACAAATAAGATACATTGTTGTTCATATTTAGCATTTTTAAGATTTAACTCCTGAGTTTAGTGTCACTTTAAGATCAATGGTACCAGCTTAATAAGACACTTTATGTATACACTTGCCAGCTCGGTCAAAGAAAGGAAAAAAAAAAAACTTTAGTTACAAGCCCTGTTAGTTCCTAAGTTACGATCTGTGTTTGTTCCAGCGAGTTAAAGAGCTCTGTCTCACAGACAATACCGTTCTTGATACAGTGTTTATTACTCCCGTACTCAGCAAGAAGTTGTAGAAGTGCCAGTGCGGCAGCTGTACTGCTTCGTGTAATGACCCCTATAATTAAGATTCAGCGTTTTTAATGCTTGCACGGGCATCAAAGAGACAATGTGATGATACTGAAGACTGCTTACCAATTCAGTTTTTTTTTTTTTCCTAGTCTTGTTGAGTGAAGTGGGTCACTCCCTACACAGGTGCTTGGTTACAAGGCTTCTACATTGCAGGCCCGGTATACCTGTTCAATGGTTTAATATTACTACTGCGATCATGTTCGGGCAAATTAGTCTGCTGGTTGAGAAAAATGAAAATACAAGCACGTTATACCATTCACCGATAAATAGGTAAAGGTTTCAGTAGCTGATCAGAACTCAGAAAGAACCAGCCAGTCTTTGCCCCTTAATGATGGGAAGTAAAATAAACGCCTGGACCCAGTTTTGTAGCTTTGCCATGTGTTAGTAACTCTGTACATATCATTGTAACTACTTTGTTTATCCGGGTGAATTATATCTTGTTGAGCCATCATTGGGTGGTAAAAGTTAATGGATATCTCCTGATTTATTTTTATCAGGGGCGTCCCGAGGCTGGGTGACACCCGGAGAGGTTACCGAGTGGCACCCCGCCGACTCGCCACTGCGTGTGCGCGTCGACATCATCGCACACGCGCTGCACTCTTCTGATACCTGCCGGCGGCCATCTTGGTGATGGACGCCGGCAGAGAGAGGAGGGCACAGTCACCCGGCGGGATAAGGAATGCCGCCGGGTCCCCTCCTCTCTCTCTCTCTATGACCGAGCGCCCGACTTTTTAGAGGGGGGTGAAGTAGTCACGGCTCCAAGCTCACTCCCGGGATGGACTACAATCTCAGGTTTAGTTTACTAGATTGTATGGAGATTGCGGTCCATCCCGGGAGCGAGCTTGGAATGGTGCCACTGCCCACACCACAACTGAGTTAAAATGACAACCATGAAAATTGTTTGTAAGTGTAGAATAATATAGTGCAGAATCAGTATAACTCTCCCATAGACACTCACAAACAAACATAAAAAACATACCTGGGCTTCACCGGGTTCCATTAAATTGGACTTTAGTATTAAAGGAGAACTCCAGATTCCCCAAAACAATGTACATTTCCCTGATCATGCCTTACACATATGCAAATGGATTGAAGTAAAAAATCTTTGTACTTGCTGAGTCCTCAAAATGCAAATGAATTCTCCTAGCAGGCAGAATAACTTCCGTAGTTGTTGGCATGTAAGTTTTCTGTTTCTGATTGGGGTGATGAAGGACGAGTGTTTTCCTGCTGGTTTTGTACATTATAAATTCACAGCACCAACTAGAGTTGAGTAGAGGAGAATCTCCCCTGCAGGGAGTCCAGGGATGCCGGTTTTTTATGTGTATCAATGGAATACGTACTGGAATTGTGGAACGATTAGAACACCCTGTCAGTGTCCCTTCAGGGAAGGTTTGCCCCCCTCTGTTTGTCCCGGTCACTGCGGTTACAACCGAAACTGAGGGAAACCCGACATCTTCCGATGGGGCCACTTGCGCCACTTTGCATAATTCCTCCCAAAAGCCGGCCCACTGTTTGCATCAGGCCTGAGGGCTCTTGAGAGCAGTACTGTGGCAGGGTTCTGTGATGTTTACAGGAAGCTATGTACAGCACCCTGCCGGCCCCTCCCACCAGCTATGATCTGCCTTCATTGCATAGGGAAACACAGATATCTTAAAATAAAAGATTTGCAATGAAAACAAAAAGGTTTTACTTAAAGGAGAACTATGGGGTTAGGGCTTTTCCCCATAGTTCTCCTTAGGGTAACGGGAGGACACAAACTAGCGTCCTCCCGTCACCCTAAGCTCAGTATATAGGGAGCTACAGCTCGCAGTATACAGAGACGCCGCAGCTGAAGCGCTACCTCCCGATCTACTGAGCCGACCTGTGACAGTCTCATTGTCACAGGTCGGCTAGAACTATGAGGTGAGTGAAAAGCACTCACCTCATAGTTCTCCTTTAAAAATGATATCAGAATGAGGGGGAAGGGGAGGAATCGGGGAAGGCAAAATATAAGCAGATTAAACTTCAGCATTAGGTTGCTTTTAGAATGTTTAGCAGAGAGAAACATAACGCCCATCAGACTTCCTGTCCACAAATTTACTAGGAGAAGGTTACTAATGTTTAGATAGTGGGACAGATGTAAAATATTTTGGTTTCCTCTCCAGATTGGGAATTTTTTCATAGCTTTAAATTTTATTAATGAGAATATTATTAAAGTGAAAATCTGCCCAATCCTTTATCTGAATTGGATCTTACATTCCAATACCGCAAAGGTCAATGGCCAGAAAGAATAACACATGAGCATCAACCTCAACCAATGAAACTTTTTGAGAATGAAAACCTAATTTAGTAAACACCATACATTGGTGACACGACAGCACGTGTTCCCATTTAGCACCTTGACCCTCGTGTGCGGTCACTGGAAATGAATGTGATATTCCTACTACAGGCCTGGCTGTGATAGGTTTTGCGAAGGGCTGCGGGGCTTAGTAATGAAAGGGGTCATTCAGATATTGCCGATGTGGCCCTTCACGATAAATGGGAATTCCTGAGCTGTGAGTGTACAGTGATCACACCATAGATTAGCTGTTTGAATACTATGTGTCAGGCAGATCATACTGCTGACCCTTCTGTTCTGAAATCAGTCGGTGTGGAAGCACAGGCACTAACCCTTTAATTGCCAGCCATAGGCAAGAGGACATGGTGTCAGGCTGTGCAAAGAAATAAAAGCTCACCCCAATGCAGCTAATAGCTTTTCCGGCCCAGTCACACCATATGCATAGTGTTGCATTGGGCACCCTGGCCCAATGCAGTCCCGACGCTTAAACAAGGCAATTGGCCTTGAGTCCAGGGCAGCCATCAGGGGGGTACGGCCGATACTCATGTATGGGGCTCGGGCAGCCTGGGGGGCCCACCTGGGTCCCTTACATGACTATCGGCCGACGGCGAAGGGCGAGGAGGCGGAGGCCTGGCCCTAGCAGCGCAGGGCCGCAGCATTGCTACTCCAGCGGCTTTGAGACAAGCTAGGGCCCCATCAGCGACGCTGCTCGTCTGATGTCAGACTGGCCGGAAGTGACGTCACGTTAGTGACGAGATGTCACTTCTGGCCGGTCCGGCGGCAGACGAGGCTATGTGTGCAGGTAAGAGGCTAATTTCACGGAACACCTGAATCCAATGATTTGGAGGGGCGTCCCAATACTTTTGGTATTGGATTTAAGTGGCCAGTGAGTGAGTGCACGGGCCTTGTGGAGATAAGTCAAATTATCGGTATTTTATTGTCAACATGATGACGGAGTTCAGTCCCTCTTTAAATATATATATTTTTTCATTTACTTATTTTTTTAAACAAAAGTGGAGTTTTCCTTCAAACATACTAACAATGGAATGACAGCCATATGGCAATTCTTAAAACCACTCAGAAAGTTCTGTTTTGCATTCTCTGAGACAACTGACAGCTGCGTCGTTTTTAGCTGACAATATGTGTAATTCTTTTCCTTTCTATGGATATTACAAAATCTGTCTTCAAGCTGCACACAGGGATAAGGATAGGATTTGCAGGGATGGGGAAGGAATGCGCCTGTTGAAGCCAACAGATCACTCCTTCCAATAAAAAAAAAAGGTTAGGCACAAGGTAAAAAAATGTTAGACACAATGGCTACCCGACTCCTATTATCTGTTTGACTTGCCATCCAGGAGTGCATGGGACAAATCTCCAGAGATTTGCTAAAATCTTAGCAAACACATTATGTTTGTTAAAGCACGAGATATGAGGCCAGAGAATTTGGCCGAGCTGGACGGTGCTATTTGCATTGTGTTCATACAATGTGCATGTGATGGAGCGTGACTCTTTTTGCTTGGCAGGAACTCCCATGCTTATTACCAGGTGTCTCCAGAATGGAGAGGTGAAACGTTCTGCTTTCACAAATACAATCGTACAATTACTTTGTATATCCCAGACTCGTGCATCGAGTAATAGGAACTGTTGTCTTCAGATTTCTGTGTTGACCAAATCTTATCCTCCTTCCCGACAAGAACCTTCTGGATGTGAAACAAAGTCATTTTTTTATCTTCACACAACTACACATTCCGGTCTACTAACTATTACTGAA